AACACTCTCCTGCCTCACAAATGGAAAGCTGTGCTTTGTGATGGCATGACACCAGCAGGCAGTTCAAGAACAGCAGTTTTGCTGGGACTGAGATGTGTGAAGACAGCAGGGCTGCAGCATGCAGAGCTGCTAGACAGTCTCAGTCCCTCTGGATGGAAGAGAGTCTGCAGCAACTGCTGATTCCATAATGTTGGTTGTTCTATACTCTCCTGCCTCACAAATGGAAAGCTGTGCTTTGTGATGGCATGACACCAGCAGGCAGTTCAAGAACAGCAGTTTTGCTGGGACTGAGATGTGTGAAGACAGCAGGGCTGCAGCATGCAGAGCTGCTAGACAGTCTCAGTCCCTCTGGATGGAAGAGAGTCTGCAGCAACTGCTGATTCCATAATGTTGGTTGTTCTATCTGAAGCACCACTGTCCTAAAATGCTCACTCTTACATCTAAAATCTTATAGTATACTGCCACTGCACATCCTCTAAGTTTGCAAAAATATGGGAAGTAATAAAAATACATGAAAAGTAATAAACACAAAATTGGCAGAACACAGGTCAGCACAGTATTTTCCCACTTATGCTGCACTGAAACAGGAAAAGACTAAAAGTACAGTGTGAACAACTCATCTTCCTCAGGAAGTTCCCTTTGGAGTTGTGGACACAGAAGGTCTACTGTTATATTTCTCTCAAACCCACTGCTACATCCTGAACAAGAGGAAGAATAGTCTAACTTCTAGACATCCTGGTAGTGGGTGGGCTCTGCAAACCCAAGAGAACCAGCCTCCTCTCTTTAGGAGATCCCATAAAGGCCAAGTACCAGCTCACTTGGAAAGATGGCAGTATTTTATACATAGCAGAAGTAGGCAAAAAACGTGCTCCATCTGCTTGTGTCTCTGCCTACAAGGTTCTAAACATATTTACAGATGGCTTAACTTTTAGGCCTTGGTGCAACAATGAATTTGAGTCTGCAATGAGACAAGTGATACTTTGCCTTTGATGTAAGCAACTGCAGCTAAACATAGATAGTATATAGAAAACAGTGATTTTAACAGAGAAGCCACATTCTGCTCTCAAGTTAGATGTCAGGGCAGATATAAGGTATAGAAAATCTCAGCATGAACAGAAGTTTGACAAAGAAATAAAAATCAGAAAATGGGTCTTACAAAGAGAAATGACAGGAG